TATTCAGAGGGAGACAGCGAAATCCTGCTCATGTGCTGAGGCCAAGAACACAGGTTGTTCCACTTACTGGTTCTATAATTGGGCAAGATAACATTATTAAGCTCATCTTTGTGAAGATTAAATGAGATCATCATTTAGGTATTTAGCACAAAGCCTTGGCGCGTTGTATATGTTCAATAAACATTAGCACCAACAGTAATAACAATAATGTATCTTGGGAACCACTTTGGCCCTCAGCTAACACATCCATAAAGGCAAGATAATAAACCAGTTCCATAGGTTTGTGTATCTAGTACTCTAGAGAGCTCTTGGGCACCTAACGGGTGCCTAGTAAATGCTAGTTCTCTCTCTCCTTTTCTCCCACCCAGCTCTGACATGCCCAGTCCTCGGTATGTCTCCCAACGGTGGACAACAGAACAGGGTGAATATGCCCTGCCCATGATATCTGCCCACCTCGATGGCCTGACTTCCTGTTTTGCCCCCTACCTCCTGTTGAACCCAGCCCAGACTGCCTACTGGCCCCCCAACCTGCCTAACAGACTCTGTCCCCCACTCGACTCCTGTCCTGCCATATTGACAAATTCGCAGCCAGCAGATTATATTCACAGTGTGAGGGAATCATTACCACCTGCTCATATTTTTATAGAATTTCATAAACTTGGTCATTCATGAGTCATTTACAGTACTTTATTCCAATGAAGAGTTCACAAATCACTCAAATGCTGGCAAAATGCATAAAAATGAGTAATATTTCAGGAGTCTTTGCATTAACATGTCAGCTTCCAATACTGTAAGAACTAAATTATTTTACCAGGTGCCACTTTGGGTCAGAAGCTTGGGAAGCCCTTTGGGGGCTGGGGTAGGGAGAGTGGGCAGGTGGCAGTAGGTCATGGACGAAGACGGTATTTAGGAAGACATCAATCATCAAGCCAATCACACCCCCTTTCCAGTCCCAGTAAGGGGAGTTCCTGACAAAGAAGGCTGGAGACGTGCAGATTAGGTATCAGATTCTTCTAACTGAGGGTAAAACTGGAAGAAGGATTTCTTAGTGGTTGGAAGCGCAGGGCTTTGGAGGTGGAGAGACGTGGATATGGATCCCAGATTCTACACACCCCAGCTGCGAGACCTTACAAAAGTTATTTCACAGTTATTTGCTTATCTGTAAAATGGTGTTAACATCTACTTCTTAAGTCTCCTGGGTGAAATGAGTTAAATAAGAGAACGTGTATGAAGTGTTTAGCGCAGTATCAGCCATGTAGTGTTCAATAAACGGTAGCTTTAATGATGATAAAAATTCAGGGGCCCAAGGACCAATTATCCCTGGTTATTTCTTATTGTGCAAATCCCCAAGGCTTAGTTCTGAATGCTTTCCTGTTGGGTTTGGGAAGTAGCAAGCAGCATTTGACTTGCATGTGAGGAGCCCTTAACTTTAAAATAAACAGCACCAACAATGGAGCGCTTATGATGGAATTTCATTCGCCCACAGGCTTGCTGCTTCTCAGAACTTGCCAGAGGGGAAATGGAAAATGTGGGGATTGGAGGATCCAGCTCTTGAAAGAAGGTTGTTTGCTACCAACCACGATGACCACCGTGAATGGGATGGATCTAACTGCCGCTAGGATAGTAGATTCTTTCTAAATGGGTGCTTGAAATGGACAGGAGTTGCAACATTCCCGCGTGCAAAGTGTATCAACTAGAGTAACCCAGTAAATCTAGAAATAGGAGAACCAAACAGAGGGTGATGGGGACATTCCTCAGCAAGGACAGGAAGGAAACGGGACAAAGACTAATAAAAGAGCAAGCAAGAGGCGTGGGGAGTATATTGTTAGAAACAGGGCCCCTAAGGCTAGGTGAGAGTGGCTCTGGGCCAGGCTGCTGTTGGGCTGTTGTACCTGGGTGCTCTTGTAAGACCCCGCATTCCCACCAGGACCAGCGTCTCCCCACTGGGCACTCGTGGCCCTGTGCCCGGGGGTAAACTAAGCCACATGATGAACAAGGCACTGTGGGCCAGCAGATCACACGCCCAACAGTGAGGAGTTTAAAGCAGTTCATTGTGAAACAAAGCCTAGGCATTAAAACAAAAGCTACGTGAAGGCTGGGAACCCGGTGTGTCTGGTTTCCCACCAGATTCCCCTAACACCTTGGAGGGAGTGCCTCACTCTGTGTCTTCAGTCAAATATATGTAGAAAAAAATGAATAATTAATCAATATGCTATGAAACTATAAAATAAACTCAATATCACCCATGGAAAGTTCACGCTTGATCTGGGCAGTCTGGGCTACAACCTTCCTTGACCATCCATCATGAATCTCTCACTCGTGTGGTAAGATCATAAAGTGCTCACGGGGTTTCTGGCATTAATCTAAATGCGTGACACATATGAACTTATTTAATCCATTAAAATCCTCTAAGATAGTATTATTATCATTCCCATTTTACAGATGAGAAAGTTGAGATTTACCCCCTGCCCAAGTTTCCACAGCTAGTCTGTGACATCATCTGGTGCAGCAAATGCGGCTGTGTACAAAATTATGTTTTTAATTGCTATGATACTATATGGCTTCACTTTAAGGAAAAAAAAAATACGAGAAGTTCCAAGCCACAGACCAGGCTCTATTTTACTCACTGATGAACAACTGAAAGCTGATTAAAGCTAGCAATTTTAGCTTCTACAGTCCTTAGAGGCGCAAGTACTATCCCCGTTTCATGGATGAGAATTGTAAGATCAGAGAGGGTAAGTGCGTTGCCCAAGATCACACAGCTCAGTAAGTAGCAGTGCTGAGCCTCAAATAGCAATTTGCGACACGAAGAGCTCTTAAACGTGATCACTGTGCTATGACATTATAAAATGTATTGTATCCTTAGTTTCCCATGTCTGAAAACTAATGGCTCTTCCCATGATAGGCGTGGAAAGAGACGAGGCCATGCACCTATGGACTGGTGCTGGCTTTTCGGGCAGCAGCTAGACCCCGACAGCTGCCACGTCCCCTCTGGTTACTGTCGAGGTCTCCACTTTCAGAGGGTGCAGCATTCAGTTTCTGCAACAACCAGGTTCCCCGCAAGTATACACTAAGGACACTCTGCTCACCCTTTGGTGATTTCTGACAGATGGTACCCCTGCAGATGCTCGCAGCATCTACCCTTTGGCAAAGCTTCTGAGAGCGGAGTGTGGGAAGCACACTCATCTTCCCTGGACCCAGGACCCTTGGGCACGTTGCTCAGCATGAGATCTGCTGACAGACACGGTTCCAGAACCTTCCCTGGGCAGCTTCTACTTGTCCAGTTCTTGGATTCCTCCAACACCCTCACACTGTCTTCAATGCCCTGGAAACTCAGAGCAATCCGATAGGGAGATGAGGGGGACTCGAAGTCTATGGATGGGATCCTGAGGACCAGAGCTTACATGGTCTTCCCAAGGTCAACAGCTCGGGATGACAGGGCAGGCCAGACCCCAGGGTACCCGTTTTCCATCCAGAGCACTTACTTTTCAATGCACTGTTCCTCTACCCTCTGTCTCTAATAAAGGAACAACACAGGTTTGGGTGAGAGAGAGTAGTGTTGCTGCCGTGGGATTGGATTATTCTTATGTGGTGTTTTGACCAAGAAAACCAGAGATGCTAAATCTTGTCCTATAAATTGACCACCACCTTCTGACCCCAATCCAGGGAAATGCACAGGCCAAGGCCATGACGACGGAACACAAACATTGTTGGCTGAGCCTTGTTCCCACAGTGCCTGCTTGCAGCTCAGTGCACTGCGCCCCACGGAGGGCATTTCCTGAAAATGGCCGAGAATTCCACCTCATTTGTCAGAGAATGAGCTCATACCCTCAGAGGCCTGGGTCTGTGACACAGGCTGTGAGAAGGGAAGTTTTGGGGGGTGTTGTAAAGAAGGGAGAGGACTGACCTCAAGCCCATATGAGAGTTAGTGCTCACCCCAATATCTGTTTGCCACTGCTCTGGTCTGTGTGTCCTGAATGGGTATCCACTTCTGAAACTACCCTTTTACAAAGAGCCTTTTACTTCTCCATAAAAAAGTAACTTAAGGGGCACCTAGGTGGCTCAGTCAGTTAAGCGTCTGACTCTTCGTTTTGGCTCTGGTCATGATCTCAGGGTCCTGGGATCGAGCCCCGCATTGGGCTCTGCACTCAGCAGGAAGTCTGCTTGAGCTTCTCTCTCTCTCTCCCTCTGCCCCTGCCCCCGCTCACTCTCTCTCTCTAAAATAAATAAATAATTCTTTAAAAAATAAACTTAAGTACTTTGTAGAAAAATCAGAAAAACAAAGAAAAAGTCGGTAACACCCAAATACAACCATTAACACTTTGATTTTTCTTCCGTCATGTTTCTTCCCAAATCTACACCTGTTGTGATATGTGCAAATTCTCAATTTGCATGGAGGATACCATATGTATTTGTGTGTCTGTTTCCACTCAATATCTTGAATTTCTCCCATATAACCAGAACTTCTTCAAAAGTGTTTTAAATGTATAAAACCTCCTTGCAAAGTTGTGCCATAATTTAACCACTCCCCCATTGCTGAATATTTAGCAAAATTGGTTCCATTTTAAGGATCGTGTCTTGCTATAACAGCATTACACAAAAGTCTAAATTCCTCCCTATTTCCTTAGGGTAGATTTCTAAAAGTACAATGATCCCATCCAAGGGTTCACAGCTTTTATAGCTGTTCATAATTGAGCCAGTTTTTGGAAAGCCCAAGCTGCCCTCACGGTTCTGACCTCCTCTGAGATCCCCCAAGGGTCCCCCTTCTTGGTCTCCAGTGCCCAAAGTCTCACAGAGGCCTGCAGGCTCTGCTGATGAGAAAGGGGCCCCTATTGTTACCCTGCTGGGGTTCAATGCCACTTGGCTCTCACAGAGACACACTTAAAGCCGCACAGCTCCAGGTTTGATGAGGCACAGAAATAACGAGCTCAGTGGGAAGACAATAGTCTCGGAAAAGCCACACGTTTGCAATTCAGGGTGGGCACTTGAGGAACACTCACCTGATAAGTAGCGATCGTTTCTCTGTCCAAGGTCCGTGTCACGGAGACGCTACCTGTGTTCTCATTGATTCTGAAAATTCCTTTAGGCTCTTGATCCACTCCCTTTCCAGTGAGCCGGAACTTGGACCCTTCCGGTCTGTCACTATCGACTACCTGGTCAGAGAAACAGAATGACATTTAAGACTCTGGCTGGAAAACACAGAGAAAGCACATTTTCAGCATAACTCAGTGACCAATCCACTAATCACAGGTGCCGGCGGCCAGATAAACTCGACTAAGGCAGCATCACCAAAAATAGCATCATTGCTTAACACCTTTCATCCTGACATGCAAATCTTTGCGGCTTACAGCTGGGGAAACTTTCCAGCATGGTGGGAGGGGGACGGACACGTAGGGATAGATCTAGATGGGAAATCACTCCAGGACATTCAAGATTGGACATTCTTATTGTTACTCTCAAGAAAAAGATTTTTTTTTTTTTTTTCCTGCAAGCCAGACCAAATAGACAATGGGAAAAAAATGAGTGGGCAGTCCTGTAGTGGGCAGGCATTCATCGAAGTTCTAACTATTTACAAAACTCAGTCATCAGCAATGTCACCTGCACCATTGCTTCTGGGTAGCAGGCCCGATGCTCAGGAAGCATTTTTTTTTTTAAAGATTTTATTTATTTATTTGACAGAGAGAGACACAGCGAGAGAAGGAACACAAGCGGGAGATGTGGGAGAGGGAGAAGCAGGCTTCCCCGCGGAGCAGGGAGCCCGATGCGGGGCTCGATCCCAGGACCTTGGGATCATGACCTGAGCCGAGGGCGGACACTTAACGACTGAGCCACCCAGGTGCCCCAAGGTGGGTGTACTTTTTTTTTTTTTAAGATTTTATTTATTTGACAGAGAGAGACACAACGAGAGAGGGAACACAAGCAGGGGCAGAGGGAGAGGGAGAAGCAGGCTTCCCGCCGAGCAGGGAGCCTGACGCGGGGCTCGATCCCAGGATCCTGGGATCGTGACCTGAGCCAAAGGCAGACGCTTAACGACTGAGCCACCCAGGCGCCCCGCTCAGGAAGCATCTTACACACACTTACACACCTAAAAAACCCTCGCACCACTGCTGGTGGTGTTAGGGGACATTATCATTTGTACTTCATGGATGAAGCCACGGTCAGAGCTGCTAAAGAGATGAAGACGGGATTCAGAACCCACCTCCCGTTTCTATAGGGACATTGCTATGCAACGTTGACACTTCTGAATTTAAGATAATTCCCTACAGGTTGTCAGGCTTGCTTTGACATTTGAAGAGAATTCAGGTGATAAGATGCAGGAAGATGGTTCTGGCAGAGGGAACAGCACAGACACAGGCAGTAGGCCGGCGAGGGGGAGCCTACACGACTCCAGAAACGGGGAGTCATTAGCATGGTTTGAGGGAGGTTGAGGGGTAATTAGGAGACAAACTGTGTTTGTTGGTTTTTTTTAATAGCGTTTGAAGATTCCCAGCTAAAGAGAGAAACATTATTTGCGTGAAGTGGTTCTTGAGTTTGTCCAAGGATTCGTGTATATTTAATGTCACTTTATCATCAATATGTGAACATGAATTCGATGGTAACAATTTTTTTCCCCCCGCCTCCCCCTCCCCCCCCATGGTAACAATTTAAAGGTCACCTGACCACAGTAGATATTCAGGACAGACAGCAAAATGAAAGCTGATACTGATCCAGCTGTAACCAATTTACAAATGACCAGGCACCTATTGGAACACTGTCACCCGTGCCTGAGGGTTTTGGGGGACAGGACAGGAAATGCGCCTTCTAGTGGGATCAGTCTCCCCCAGACCCCATTGCTGTGGCGGCCATGCCTGCAATTCCGATGTCTGCCACCAGGTGGCAGTGGAGCCTAAGGCAGCATGACCCTCATGCCCAGGTTCCTCTGCTGTGACCAGTTGACAGACCTGACACAGTTCCATAGAGCAGTGTTGTTGTTTTTTTTTTTTTCTGATTTAAAATTTTACTTAAATACATTGAGGGTTCTGATTAAACACCAATTATCTCTGTTTGCATTTTTAAGATTAACATAAAATATCATCTAAAGCAAGACTAAAAATAAGGCATGTGGTATCTTCTGATGAAAAGAGTTTTTTGGGCGCCTGGGTGGCTCAGTCGTTAAGCGTCTGCCTTCGGCTCAGGTCATGATCCTGGGGTCCTGGGATCAAGCCCCGCATCGGGCTCCCTGCTCCACGGGAAGCCTGCTTCTCCCTCTCCCACTCCGCCTGCTTGTGTTCCTGCTCTAGCTATCTCTCTGTCAAATAAATAAATAAAATCTTTAAAAAAAAAAAGAGTTTTTTAATCACTGCTTGACTTGATTTAATCCAACTGACATTCTCCCCATGACCCACTCCCTCCTGCTGGGGAGCTCCACGGGGTCAACAGCCTCAGCATACTGGGATCACCCCGGGATCCCAGTGCCTGGCATACAGCCGGAACCAGTTCCAATATCTATCTACTTTAGGACACCACTGTTCAGACAAGCATAGGCTCTCATCCTAGCTTGGCCAGTGGGCAGCTCTGGAACCTGGAACGTGTTTCTTTGCCTACTTGGCTCTCCATTTCCTCATCTGTAAAAATGAGGAAAACACCGCTCACGTCCCAGGGTTGCTGAGGGTTTAATGAGATAGTGTGTGCAAAGTGCACTTCTTGGCTCACAGAAGGTACTCAATGAATTGTAGCTAACGATCACCATACTGAGAGTAATAATCACAGCAAAATCACACCGACACCCCTTCGTTGTCATTGGGTAAGACGGAGACTTCCAGGCATAAAAAGAGCATGTTAACCATAGTATTAAAAAAGAATCCCTTTCATTTATTTATTTATTTATTTATTTGGGAGAGAGAGAGAGCACGAGAGGGAAGAGGGTCAGAGGGAGAAGCAGGCTCCCCGCAGAGCAGGGAGCCCGATGCGGGACTCGATCCCAGGACTCAAGGATCATGACCTGAGCCGAAGGCAGTCGCTTAACCAACTGAGCCACTCAGGCACCCAAAAAAGAATCCGTTTCTAAGAGAACAAATTTCCTTTCAAAACACAAGACTTACAAACATCTCTGGTTTGAGACGAGAAGTGCTCTGGAAACAGGCTTACTGTGGGAAGGGGCCACTGATCAAAATCTGCCTTCTTTGTCACCTCCCTGTTTACTCTCCCTTCCTCCCCCCTTTTACCACTTCAATGTGGATTAAAACCTCTTCCTCTTGCTCCCCTGAGCACACTTAAGGTAGGCAGGTCCTATCCAAAGGCCGTATTAAGTCAGGAGACAGTGTGACGGGAAATGAACATGGGCAATCTACACGAGCTGTGGTGCTCCCAGGAGTGGACTTCTGACCCCATCTGTGTACCGGACACAGCTCACTGGTGAAGCCCTGTCAGGGGAGGTCTTCTGTGCTCTGATCTCCTTTCTGGATGCTGCCCTGCTCAGAAAGGGCTGGGAGTACAGCCTCCCAGACTTTCTAGAAGGCACACAGTCAGAGATGGTCCTGAAGGCCCTCTTGGGGCAAATATGGCCACCCTCCCATTTCTGTTTGCCCCTTAGCACTGAGTTCTGGACCCAGAAATCCCCCCAGAACCACCTTTCCTCCTGCCATCAAGGTCAGTTCTGGGTCATTTCCTTGCTCTCAGACAGCTTGAGCCACCTGACCCCACAGAAGCAGGGTCTTGGCTACTGGATTTAAATGACTTCTTCGCAGAGAAGAAGGAAGTCCTGCTGTGATCACCTCTGCTTTGTGCTGCATGACTCCCCTCTCTCTCAATATTTCTGTTTTTAAAGGCTTGGCTTTTGACAGATCTACTGAATCTGCCTCCTGGTCCTCAGAACCATGTCCACTTTGAAGGAGTGCCCACAGCCACACCAAGTATGGCACCCCCAGACTAATGAGCATTATGGGGCCACCAGCCCAGGGACGTGTCTCAAGATGTGGTTCCCTGGACCAGCATGGGCATCACCTTGTTAGAAATGCAAATTCCCAGGCCTCACCCAGAGCTCCCGAATCAGGAACCCTGGGGATGGGGCTTGGTGACGTGGGCTTTGACAAGTGCCCTGATAATTGCGACGTACGCCACAGTTTGAGGACTACTGATTTAGACAGATTTCAGCACCATCCATACCCATTATAACTGGTGCTGGTTTCCACTGCTACCATTTGGAGCATTATGCTGACAAAAGGCTGGGTCTGTTTGCTATTCCTCTCTAGACCTATTTTAAACATATGACACTATTAGGAACTCTAATTTAAAAACCTGTTTTCTAGAATGTCAGTAAAGCAGAGTTGCTACTTCCCCAAGACTGACATCTCCAACTGCGTCCAAATACCCTACGGTTTGGAGAAACCTTGGAGGGGAAAGCATGGGGGTGGGGGTTGCGTTCCAGGGAAAAGCCAGGAGTCCTGGCTCGGTTGAGATTTAGGAATCACCCACCATATCTCCGGCTTCTGGGTCCCCAGCTGGGACGTCAGAGGGACCCCAGCCCACTCCAGCCTCACTGATCTGGGGAGAGAGCAGGTGTGCAATGGCCACAAACCCAAGGAGGCCTGAGCCACACATCGGAGCTATCCCACGCTAGTCAAGAGGGTTTGCAGACGAGCTTTATTACACTATGCTCCTCTTGGGAAAACTGCCCTGTGCTACTCCAGGGCTGTGGCCCCAGGGGGGTAGTCCTTTTGTTGTTGTTTAATGTGATGGGACTTAGGAAATCCAGGGCACTCCTTCTGGTCAGAACAAATCCTGCTGTGAGTCTCTGCTCCTATAGCAGCTGTTAACACCCATTATCCCACATAGCAGGGCTTCACAATTAGCTGGTCTCTCCTATTGGTCTTTGTAATTCAGCACTTCTTTTCACAGTGGGATTTTTTTTTTTTTTGCCTTCCTTACTTATCCTCTGAGTTTGAATGGAAAAAACAGAAAACAAAAGACATAGCTAATGATGAGAGAGAAAGAACTCTGGCCCTGGGTGCCAACAGCCTTAAAGGCATGTGAATAGCACACAGGCATCTTGCTATGTACCTGGGTAAAGTGACTTCCCAGGTAGCCATGGGGCGGCCAGCATACCGGCTATTGGGGTGGCACGGCCCCGCTGGGACCAGAGTCCTCTGCACCCACGGAGGGACAAGAAATACTG